GCATGCAACGATCTCCTTTCTAATATACATAAGATTTACCAGCTACTTTGCATAATATCTCTGGCTGTGCAGTTCAATCTAAAGAATCCGTCTATGCCTACATGTAACATTTGTTTTTTCCTTGGAACACGTGCATGTCATCATGCGATTCGAATCGCGGCAGCTCTGAATCGTATAGTATCGTACGATACGAATCGCGAATCTTGCGATTCTTACTACCATGCATTCAACTACAAGTCACTTGATGAATAATTTTGTTGAACTTATGTATGGAATATTTATTTCAAATTAAAGTTTAAGAGCCTTTCATCCAAAATTAACATTTCATGGTAGCTATTTCAATACGAGGTAAAGTGTAGGATGGGGGTGGCTATGTGTACATTCTTCCCTATAAACAATTCATAAATCTTAATCATCACAGGTTCACAGCAATAACATAACAATACAGAACAACAACATGAATAATGGTAGCTAGGGAACCATTTGGAACCTACTTAAGAATTTCAAAGGGTAAGGAATCTAAATGAATGGAATTAATTGACATGATCCAGCAAGCATTAAAGGTGATTGTTGAATATAGACACAATTACTAACTAGTTAACTTCCGATATAGAAGAGACAGCTGCTGCCAGAAAGAAAAAACTTATGACAAAAAGAACATGGGGAAAGATAAAAGCTAATTTTTTTTTGTATTTGCTTGACAAAACCAAGGTTCGGAGAACATTGAAACATTCACAACAATGTTTCCCTTTTTTTTTAGCTCATTTACGGGCTTTCCCAAGTTAAATTAGATGAGAATCAATCACCAGTACAATATAAATTATGCTGCTGCCTGCAAGTATATTTGCTTTAGTTTCTTCAAAATTTGTAGAGTTTCAAATTTAGATAGACTCATTCTTGCATAGGGCATACCATGGATTTCTCACAATGGAATTTATAGGGGATACAATTCATGACTGAATGAATTGTTAAGAATTCAACAGATTTTTTCATAGATTCTTCTGTGTTCATGCTAGGAATCTTAAGATTTCATAGAATTAAGGTCACTAATGGACACAATATCAATGTAATTCTTTAGAATCAATTAAAAGAGATATTTTAGGGTTTCCATAGATCTCTTTCACATTGTATTATGCAATTCTGTTCTAAATGTAAATTCCTATGATATCTACACCTGATTCTTCTGAACATCATTTTTCATCTCTTCCTCCAAAATTCTTCAACACTCAACATCATACTTTAATAGAGTAACCTAATAATGTTTAATCTGAATATTCAATTTAAATAACACAAACCCATGTATCAGATTTCACATGTAGTCAAGTACTATTCAAACATTAATCAAAAGCACCCTTATTGGATTTACATTGTCCATTTCATCATTTCAAACATAAACATTTAATGAACCCAGAGAATTGCACTAAACCCAACAACTATGTATGTGAAATGAAAAGATGAAACAAGAGTGAAGTAAAAATATAAAGCACAAAACACAACAAAATTCTAGATATAAGAAAAGGGCCACAACTGTGTTAGAATATCACATAAAAGATCTGCCAAACATAGTTAAATTTTATTCTTTCTGTGACCAGTCCCTTCTGATGCAGGTCGGAAATTAGTTGTAAATTTAGGATTTGAAGCAAAGTGAGAATATGAAAATAGGTATGGTAGATCTATCATCTATAGGATAAAGTGTTTGCTTGAGAGGACAGAAATCCAATATGATTACAATTCAATCTTAATTCAAAAAGAAACACCAGAAGAGATATACTGAATATACTTCACCAAATTCTCAATCTCCTGAAATTACATTGAGAATCTTAATTTATAGACAACCATATATTATTCTAGAACTGATTGGACCTGTAAGTCTTAAGTAGCTTAATTAATGACCTTTGCACTACTTTAATTACTTAGGCCCCTAATTATGTGGTTGCCTTTTGCAAGATAATAACTTATCAAATACATAGAACAATGACTCTTGGGTAGCCACAATATGTAAATGTAATACACTTAAGTAATACATATTTAAAACTCAACAACTAAAACTGTTACTTGACACACAAAGAAAGTTTCTATATTCTCCATCATCTTGGATTTTGTATATGAAAATTTAAAGTAATAGAAAACTGGATAGGTTATTTGGTTCTGAATACAGCTCGATGCAAAATCAAAGATAAAAAACAAAGAAAGCAATAACACATTGTTGCCAATACCCGCAAACTTGAGAAGTTCTTGTGGCTGAAACTTACTATGGCCGAAACTTATGAACAAAACTATAAAATAAAACACTTAATTAGACTTAAACCCAAACATGCTTCTATCTCAATTGGCACTAATCCAAATCTTTTAAGATTTGACTTAATGTTGGTGTCGGAGATTCAATCCCCCACCCTATCATAGTGCTTGTGATTCCTATGCAATCTACATAGGAGATGCAAACACATAGGAGAAAAGTGAAAGTGGCATTCGATGAACCAGATCCTCATCAGTGTTTCGTTTTATAAGATCCATGCTCGCTCATATGCACAAATCTAGCAATAATCCCTTTCATTTTCCTTGGTAAAGTGACACTTTTGTAAAAATATAAAACAAAAAAACAAAAAGAAAGAAGGATTTTATCCTCATTTATCCAAGTTTCTCGACTGCCAAGTCACAAAATGAAAATTGAGACTTCAAATATAATCACAAGGCACAAACAATAGGTTCCACTAATGTGTCAGCAGTGCACATATAAGAGCCAAAGTTGTTACTCTATCCAACTAAATTCATTCCCATCTGCAGTCTGTATGTACCAGATACAATCAAGAAACCACATCCATGCCATGCCTTCGCAAAGTCAAAACAAAAACAACGGAATAAACCTCATCCATCTAAAACAAGTGTACTAATCTATCGAGTTTAATAGGTTTTCCCGGTCAACGTAATAACAATTTACTCGACTTATAGGAAATCATTCTCAGTATGGACTCTATTTGGTTACAAACTTAGCTCTTTTCATTAAACTCTCAAAATCACTTCTCTTATATCCAAACACGCTGATGATCTTTAAAATAGTTATTATAAAAGTCAATAAACCTTACAATAATGCATGAAGGTTTGTGATCGTATTGTCAACACATGTATTATTCATTCTAAACTAAGAAGTATAACATAAAGCACAATAACAACATTTAGATTAACCAAAAGCCATAAAAAAAGAAATCCAAAACAATTGGACTCCACTTAATTGCCATATAACTTGAAACACCCCAATTCCTCCTTCCACTACAAACTACTAGAAACAAAGACAACGTTACAGTTTGACAAAAACCAAATAATTGAGCAAGTCCAACGCAACTAAAACAATCGAAAGCTAACCTAACTCAACTTTGTCTCCTCATGCGCTTCCTGAGCTTCTGATACTTGTGCTTGTTCATCTTCCGCTTCCGCTTCTTCTTCACGCTGTCGGCCCAGAGGGTTCCGGAAGCTTCCACGTCATCGGGGGAGGAGCGAATGCGAAACGCGCTTTCGGAAACGGGCGTGGGGGAAAAGCCGAAGGGGAAAGAGGGGAAGATTAGGGTTGGGGAATCGAAGCGATGCGATGGCGGAGCGGTGGAAGAGGGTGGGTGAGGAGAGAGAGCGAGGATGGGGTTTGGGTTTGGGTTTAGGGTTTGGTGCGAAGGGTTGAAGGAGGTGATGAATCTGAAAGAAGGTGGTTTACGAAGAAGCTTCTGAAGCGCCGACAACGTTACAGTTTGACAAAAACCAAATAATTGAGCAAGTCCAACGCAACTAAAACAATCGAAAGCTAACCTAACTCAACTTTGTCTCCTCATGCGCTTCCTGAGCTTCTGATACTTGTGCTTGTTCATCTTCCGCTTCCGCTTCTTCTTCACGCTGTCGGCCCAGAGGGTTCCGGAAGCTTCCACGTCATCGGGGGAGGAGCGAATGCGAAACGCGCTTTCGGAAACGGGCGTGGGGGAAAAGCCGAAGGGGAAAGAGGGGAAGATTAGGGTTGGGGAATCGAAGCGATGCGATGGCGGAGCGGTGGAAGAGGGTGGGTGAGGAGAGAGAGCGAGGATGGGGTTTGGGTTTGGGTTTAGGGTTTGGTGCGAAGGGTTGAAGGAGGTGATGAATCTGAAAGAAGGTGGTTTACGAAGAAGCTTCTGAAGCGCCGAAGAAGCCATTGGAGAATGGGAACGAAAGGAGGTTGCGCAGTGAAAAGGTAATAGGAACAAGGACCGGGTTTCGCTATGCCTCGCCAGGTTTCTGCTCATTATTATTCTCACTATTTTTTTTAGGAAGAAATTATGGGAAGAATCTTAATTAATTAATTTAATATTCTATTTGCTGCTCTTTTAATTGATTTTGGTTCAAAATTAACATGGTAAATATATTTTAGTTATTTTAATATCACTAAATTATTTTTTTAAAATATTTTTATGTATAGAGACGACGAAGATCAAGTTACTCATTATTCTTAAGAATGATTAAAATTCATTTAATAATTTATAATAAAAAAATAGAGATATTTATAAATGTTAACTGATAATTAAATATTTTTCCTATATTAAATAGTATTTGAATAAATTTTTTGATTTAAGAACATATTTGAGAAAGCTTATACTCTAACATTCAAATTATTTCTTTTAGAAAAAAGTTGTTAGTAAAATAGCTTAAATTTGTAAATAAATTCTTTTTTTTTTCAAACAATAAGCTAATTTTAAGAAGTTAAAAATTTAAGGATTATGATTATTTTTCAATAACATTTTCTCTTTTTAAACTAATTTATAAAAATCAATTATTTTATTATATTATTCTAATAAAATTAAACATTTTAAAATTGTTTATCAACAAATATATCCAAACAAAATTTAATTATAATTATAATTAATTATTAAAATAATTTAATTTTTACATCTTCACATTCTAAATCGGAAATGTTAGATTTTGGCCTATTCATGATAAAAAAAAATTTCGTCAAAAACATAGATAAAAAATTTCTATCTAAAGATATCAAATATGTCAGACTAACTTGGTCCAATCTAACCTATGCAAGTCAAATATTATTTTAGACTTGATTTATATTCTTTTTGAACTGTCATTTTTTGCCTAATTTAACCCATGTTGAATCATTAGACCAGATTTGCCTAATTAAAAAAAAATATAATTTAAAATATTAGATCTATTTTTTATTATAAAAAACAAAAAAATTATAACATAATTAATTGATATTGCATATTTTCATGAAACTAGCTTTGTTATCCGACATAACACTAACATCTTAGTACTTAGGAGATTCAATACATTTAATAATATAACATTTTAAATAATTAATAACTGGAATAACTTTACATGTATACAATTTTTCACACTGCATTTACATTTATCTACCCCATAACTAAACCAACCTTTTTAATCATAATTTCATACTCAAAAGTATTAAGCTTAATTTTCTTAGCCTTTTAAGTGTTTTAGTATCGGTAATTAATAATCCTATTTTTTCTTTTATTACCAATAGTAGTAATAGAAGAATTAATAACAACATTTAAATCACAATTCTTAGTGGCACGAGCATGAGTATGTCTTTGTCTTTTTGGACATACGAAACAAAGATGATGAGTCATGGGGTCAAGCCATCAATAGCACAATGAGGATGACAAAACTCTTATAGTGGCTAATATTAACTCTAAACTTATAACTACAACTATGTAAATGTACATAAAAGATTTACTATTATTATATTTGATAATACATTGTAGATTTACAGATTGATGATAATTCAATTTATTTCACTTATTAGTTTAACGGGTCAACTCAACTTGTGGTCAGTTAGCATGTTAAACTTAATGAACTGGAGTAAAATGACCTAATTCTATTTAGGCTATGTTTTATAAGGTCCAATCTGGCCTTATTTGTGGGTTGGCCAAGTTGGTCCATCAAGTTGGGTCCGAAAATCATAGCTTTACTTGTACCAAACATGTGAAAATAACTTTTCTAACTCTAGATTATTGGAAAAGTAAAACAATCCTTATATCCCTTTCAATAAAATTATTCCACTCAATAATTCACTATATATAAAATCATGTTAAACACTAATTGAATTTATATAATGAAGTATTAAATAAATCTATAACTTAACAAAAAAATTATAAACTTAATCTATTTAATATGAATTTTTAATTTATCAAATGAATTATTAAAGTGTGTCAAGTTGGAGCAAAATAATTTTGAATATAATTTTATTAACTTAGTTTGTGTCTATTCTTGAATTAACCAAGATAACTTATTAATCTCAACTTGTTCAGTTTCCCTTAAAACATCTTCAATGAGATTTGCTTAAGAGCTTGTTTAACAATAAAATATTATTTTAATATTTTATGCGTAATTTTTTGTTACTTAAAATGAAATAGAGTTATTTATATAGACAATCATACATTATATGTTTAGCATCTATGTGTGTACTTCATATAAGAGAAAATATGAGATGTTGAAACAGGAAAAAAAAATATTTGTGAACTAAACAATTTATCGATAAAAACTACGATCGGAGTAAGAATTAAATAAATTATTTAAAATTAAAACGATATATATCAACTCAGTTAAAAAAAATATATTTTATTTTTTGAATTTGAACAGCCCTAGAGATGTTCGTATACTTCGCATTTTCAAGTTACAACTCACAATTTAAGTTACGATCATATTCTTGTTATTTGATGGCAACTCGTGATTTTGATTATCATCACATTTTCTTTATTGATATAACTTTTGATATTCTGATAGGGCCAGTTCTCGTAGGCCCAAGTTTCCTCCGTA